AAATTGTTTGAATCGACCATTGGGAATCTTAAAAAAATTTAAAAACTGAGGTCAAGAGATCTACTTATAAAAGCAACCTTACCTCAACAGTCAGCAAAGCTTCTCAAAATGAAGTCTCTGGGATAAATAATGGTAACCATCACACTGCACAAATTTGAACTTGTCATGTGGTACCTGAAACCGATCTGCTGTCTGAGGATGAATCAAATATTTAGATTTGTCTCTCAGACCGAGGTGTCACTGCTGTTTGAAGAATTTCGATCCATTGTGATGGTAAGTTGATACCAACAAAACACCTTATATTGACTTTCAACAAACGAACATCAACATTGCCTCTTCTGTTGCGGCAGGATATCTTCGTTGCCCAGTTCGCCCATATATTTCAAATCAGCTACGTTGCTTTAAATGTCAGCAGTTTGGACACTTCCAAATATCATGCAGAGAAAAAAAAGCTTGCACACAGTGTTGAAATGAAGACCACGAGAGTACTGAAATGAAGACCACGAGAGTACTGAATGCACAAGTTCTCAATGCTGTGGAAACTGAAAAGATTCCCACCCTGCCTATTCTCAAAAATGCACTGCATGGCAGAGAGAGAAAGAAATTTAGCGATTAAAGATTGTTAATAATATATGTTACCTGGAGGCACGTTGCATGGTGACTTTAAGTGCACCAGTGAAACAGAAGACATTTGCTGCTGTTCTGAAATCCACAAAGACATGTGGAGTTCAGACAAACATTTCTTTTTCACCAAATGAATCTCTGACTTGCTACGAAAAATGTCTGCTGATAACATCTACCAAAGCAACAGAAAAATAGAATAACAAAGCAAAAACAGGGGTAAAAACTAGGAATGTGGGTTCAAAAAAGCCAGTAAGAATCCACTTAATAAACAAAGGATAAAAACAGCCCTCTCTAAATCAAAAAAAGTGGAGTCTATAAGCGAGTTTGCCAACTTCTCTGATGAAAAGAATAATAAGGGGGGTGACACCACCAACATCACCTCCAAAAGAAAAACCCCCTGTAAAATGAAAGAGGGATAACCTTGCTAAAAATGCTGCCTCGAACACATAATGGATTATACAATAATCCAATGGAACTGTCGTGGTTTTCGCAACAACTTTTCTGACATTAAACACTTGACATCATCTATCCCATCTCTCTGTGTGGCACTCCAGGAAACACATCTAAAACTTGAAGAAAAATCTTTTTAAAAGGTTTCAATCTCTACCGCAAGGATGATGATAGCCACAACCGTGCCAGTGGAGGTGTGGCTATTCTGGTTTCCAATCATATCCCATCCTTGCCGGTACAAATAACAACAGAGCTGCAAGCTGTGGCAGTCAGAATTTCTATTGGAGTAACTGTCAGTTTGTTCTATATACTTGCCACCAGATGTCAGAGTCAATGAGGATGAATTGAGTACACTAGTTGAACAGCTGCCAACTCCATTCCTTTTACTAGGTGATTTCAATGCTCACAAACCTATGTGGGGCAGTGCTGACATTAGTCGTTGAGGCTGGGCCATTGAAAGATTTATTGGCAATCAGCAACTGTATTTATTTAATACAGAAGTGACATACTTACATGCCCCAGCGAGAACATTTACAGTTATTGATTTAACCATAGCAAGTCCAAACCTGTTTTTAGCATTTAAATGGGAGGTTGGATGTAATCCACTCTCTAGTGACCATTTCCCTATATTTCTAAAATATCAAGGCAGAGAAAGCTGTCAAACAGCTTGTTTACCACGCTGGAAACTTCAAACGGCAGATTGGCCTGCATTTTCCTCTATGGCTGACATCTCTGAGGAAATGGTCAATACTGCTGATATCAATGATGCAGTTGAAGTTGTCACTTCTAGTATTATTCAGGCAGCCGAAAAAACAATGGGAAAAACATCAACTAGATACCCAAAGCATTTGAAACCATGGTGGGACCAGAATTGCGAGGCAGCATTTAAAAAACAAAAGAAAGCATGGGGAATTTTCAGAAGGTACCCCACTGCTGAAAATTTGGTTGTCTTTCAAAAAGCAAAGGCAATCGCCAGAAGTATAAGAAGGCAAAGCCAAAGGGATTCTTGGAGAAAGTATGTTTCTAGCATAACATCTTCCACTAGCTAAAAAACAGTCTGGGATAAAATCCATAAAATCAGTGGGAAATATGCTTCCCACTCTCTGTCCATGATAGAAAATAATGGCACAATAATCAGCAATATACAGGGTATTGCTGATATGTTGGATGAAACATTTTTGTCTTCATTCAGCAATATTATGTATGCAAGAAATTTTTAGGCATATAAAGCCCAAAGTGAAAAACAATATGTAAATTTCCATTTTTTCATCTAATTAGGAATATAGTTGTAAAGTACTATATTATTTTTTTGACTTTTCCTACGATTATCGACACGACTGTGTGCCGGAAATAGTCGTTCTCTAACGGGTACTTTACGCGGATTTGCGTTAGTATGCCAGGTCTGGACTTTTAGCGTGCACCGAAATTAAATAATGACAAAGTTTGTCAATAACAAATCAAATATTTAATAAAAGTTCTAGTAATAAACTATATACAAAGTTTAGTAAAACCAAAACAACAATTTATTCAATGAAAATGAATAAGAATCAACCTGACAAAACTCGTCTCAATCTAGCTTTTATTTCCCTTTGGAATTCGACAGAAATTCAAAGACTTAACTTATATACAATTATTCTTATGAATTAAAGATCCTGATCATCATTTCAATATACTAGGAACCTATTTTCTCAATTCTCAAGACTTTTTTTATTTGTCGATCCACAAATCAAATAANGCGTGCACCGAAATTAAATAATGACAAAGTTTGTCAATAACAAATCAAATATTTAATAAAAGTTCTAGTAATAAACTATATACAAAGTTTAGTAAAATCAAACAACAATTTATTTAATGAAAATCAACCCGACAAAACTCAAATCAATCTAGTTTATAACTTACTTTTATTTCCCTTTGGAATTCGACAGAAATTCAAAGACTTAACTTATATACAATTATTCTTATGAATTAAAGATCCTGATCATCATTTCAATATACTAGGAACCTATTTTCTCAATTCTCAAGACTTTTTTTATTTGTCGATCCACAAATCAAATAACTTCAAAATTGCCTTGGAACTATTTGATCCTATCGGACACCTCTTTTGTTCACTGCTACGAAGCTCGCCAAGCTCATTGCTAACTGGAGTTCACCTCGTTGATCTTTACTTTATGTTCAGACTTTATACTGTGAGGTGACGTCACAATTCTAAATGCGATCACTCCCCTCATTGACATATATTATTTGCCATAATGTGCCATTCACTAGAATTGAATTTCATACAGTGATCTCTCGCTCGGGGAGTAGTGCTGTAGACCTGGATAAGATCCACTACAGCATGATTAAGAATCTTTCAAACAATTTCCTTTGTAAACTTCTGAATCTGTTTAACAGAATATGGACAGAACATACTTTTTCTGACTCTTGGAGGCTACCTATCATTATTCCTATTTCCAAGCCAGGTAAAGACTGCAAGAATCCCTAGAATTACAGACCAATCTCTCTGACAAGTTGCCTGTGTAAATTTTTTGAGAGAATGGTAAACCGATGCCTGATGTTCCTCCTAGAGAAAAAGAACTATTTTTCTTCACATCAGAGTGAATTCCGTAGGAACAGAAGTACTACAGACAATTTGGTTAAACTTGAAACATATACGTGAGACAGCACTTAGTGTCTGTGTTTTTTGACATAGAGAAGGCCTATGATCGCTGTTGGCGATACGGGATACTTTGTTATATGTACGAATTCGGGTTGCGGGGTAATTTGCCAATTTTTATAAAAAACTTCCTACAGAATTGAAGATTCTATGTCAGGATTGGCAACACCTTATCTAGGCTGTTCACCCAAGAAGAAGGTGTCTCTCACGGCTCTATTTTGAGTGTGACTTTGTTCTGAATTAAAATTAATAGCGTAGCTAACCGTCTTGCCCCCAGTGTGAAATGCTCTTTGTATGTGGATGACTTTCAGATTTTCTGCTAGTCTAGCAACGTGAGCTTTATCGAGAGACAACTGCAAATTTCTTTAAATCGCTGAGACCATTGGTTTTCGACCAATGGTTTTAGTTTTAGCATGGAGAAGACCTTGTGCATTTATTTTTGCTGTAGGTGTGGTTTGCACTTGGATCTTGAAATTTACCTAAATGGGGTCAAAATCCCAATTGTGAATGAGGCTAAGTTCTTGGGTGTTTGTTTTTATCAAAAACTGACATTTTTGCCACACTTGCGCAACCTGAAGAGTATTATGCTGCTCATCCTGGGGAGCAGACAAAAAGTTTTTATGCTCAGGATTTATAGGGCCCTTCTCTGCTTTAAGCTGGACTATGGATGTGTTGTGTATGGCTCTGCGAGGGAACCTACTTCTAGGATGCTGGATCCAATTCACCATTAAGCATTACGTCTGTGCACTGGTCCCTTCTGCACCTCTCCTGTCCAAAGTCTGTACGTGGATGCTTATGAGCCTTTACTATCTCTTAGGAGAGAACAGTTGTTTTTTTTTTATTATATAAAACAGAAATCGTATACTAAACTTTCAGTTAAACTGTTATGTATCGTTTATGTGTATATATGTGTTTTCCTATTTATCTTACACGCCCAATCATACCATGTGTTGTGGTGCAGTATAGTTCGTATGGCTTTTGTGCTAATAAAAATTAACCAACCATCCAACCAACCACAGATAGAGGTTAATAGTATTTTACATTGGTCATCCCCAGCGATAGAGGTTGATTTAAGCTTAAAGCAGTTCCTCAAAGAATTTACGCCAGATTACGTTTACAGACAGCACTTTGCAAAAATTCAAAATTGTGACATGAATTTAATTCCTATATACACTGATGGATCTAATTTGGATTACTATGTAGGCTTAGTTTTTGTTAGCCAAAATGAAATTGTGGTAGAAGAAATAGCACCAAATTCTTTTTTTTGCGGATTTGCAGGCTATTTATTTAGCCCTAAACTATATAAATAGGAAAGGTGATTGTTGCTGCATAATTTACATTGACTTAGTTAGTGCACTTCAGGCTTTGATCTCATATGAATCTAGTTCTCACTCCATAGTTATTAAAATTCGAAAACTAATTTGTCATCTCACTATGAGAAATTTTTTTGTGAAGTTCTGTTGGGTCCCAGGCCACATGGGTATAAGAGGTAATGAAGAAGCTGATACAGCCGCTAAGTCAGCAAGTCCTTCACAGCATACAATGTGTATTAAAGGAGGTGATTTGAAGCTAGTCGTTAAAAAACGACTAGCAGAGAGATGGCAAAACGTGTGGAATGCACAAATCCACAATAAACTTTACGAGATCAAACCTTTGGTAGAAAATTGGACACATAATAGGCAATATGATAGGAGATGTGAGGTTATCCTTACTCATTTGAGAATTGGACACACTCGACTGACTCATCAATATTTTTTGAAGGGAGATGATGAACTAGTATGTCAGCACTGCAACTGTGCTGTAAGTGTTAAACACATATTTTGCAACTGTGTTGCTTTTGATCAGACTCGTAGACAGCATTTCGGAAATGCAAGCTTTAGAGACATTTTGGGCCAGAGGCCAAATCTGAATAATATACTGGACTTTTTGAAAGTCCTTAATATGTGTAGAGAAATATGATGATTTATTTATTGTATAGTTTTATTTACTTCATGATGCATATTTAAATTATTGTATATATCTTTTGTTGTTATTTATTTATTATAGTTTTGATTCTATATATTTATATTTATATATATATATTACCATTGGCTTTTTAATGGTTAAACTGTTTTGTATATATCTGTTTTCCTATTTATTTTATACCCAATCATACCATGTGTTGTGGCGCAGTATAGCCTGCATGGCTTTTGTGCCAATAAAAATTAACTAACTAACTTTAGTCGTCTGAAAATTGGACACACTCGACTGACTCATCAATATCTTTTGAAGGGTGAAGAGCAACCAGTATGCCAGTATTGCAACTGCTGTGTAAGTGTTAAACACATACTGCTCGGTTGCTTTGCCTTTGAGATCAGGCGTAGACAGCATTTTGGAAATGCAAGTTTGAGAGAGATTGTGGGTCAGAAGCCAGATGTTTATATGATACTGAACTTTCTGAATGTTAGAAATATTTATAAAGAAATTTAATTATCTATTAATTTTTTTATTATGTATTTTCATTTATATATTATTTGTATAGATCTCGTTGCTATTTACGAGGTCTGTTTAAAAAGTATCAGACCTTTGGTCGGCAAAAATATATTTATTGATTTTGAGGTATGAAACTTTAATTTTCTTCAAAGTAGTCTTTTTGATAGTGTATACATTTATCCTAGCGTTCCTGCCATTGCTGGAAACACTGCTGGAATGCATCTTTTGGTATGGTTATCAGCTGGTTTGTCGCATTTTGCACAATGTCTTCTCTTGACTAAAATCGGGTTCTATTGAGTGGCATTTTCAGCTTGGAAAATAGGTCACATGGAGCCATGTGGGGAGAGTACAGAGCGTGACGAACCACACGAGTGTTGTGTTTGGCGACAAAAGCTCGAATCAGATGTGCAGAATGGGTGGATGCGTTATCACGATGGAGCTGCCAAGTTTTGATCGACCACAGATTTGGTCGTTTGCGTTGCACAGCATCGGAAAGGCAACGAAGGACCTTTTGGTAGTACTCCTTTGCAATGGTTTGGCCTCGTTGTGCGTACTCACGATACACCACCTCACGAGAGTCGAAAAAACTGTCAACATAACCTTGATATTGCTGCGGGCTTGCCGTGCTTTTTTTGGCTTCTAGGATTGTCCTTGAAAGCCTGCTGAAACTTGCGAATGGTTTACGCTCAGGTATCACTATGTTTTTGGTAAAATTTAATGTAATATTGCTACTCATGTTGTTCAGTCATTTTCCAACTTAGTGGAATCTGACGAGAGCTTGCTACATGTCTTCACTCATAGGCCGACTGCCAATGACTGATGCTTCCTTCAGGCAGGAAAAAATTTAGGGCTGTGCATGACTGTCTCCTCCACAACTCCACCGAAAGAGGTGTGCCGCGCATCATTGGTTTACGCAGAAAAAATAAGTCCTATACTTTTTTAACAGACTTCGTACATTTTATCTGTTACATTTCTTGTTACTCATTACATGTCTTTTATTATTATTTGTTTATTTTACATTGGGATTGATTAATGTAGGGAACCTGTTCTTAATCAGCGGATTTTGTTCTGTCTGTTCATTTCATTAATTAACAAGTCCAATATTTCTACAAAAAATTTTATTTTACTCTCAGCGATAGCTACTTTACAGTTTTTCTCCCTCTTGTGTCTTGAATTTTTCTCTCCTTTTCTCTATTCTTGTGTGTTTCTTTTTGGGTTTTATGGCCTTCTGTCATCGCGTGTGGGTAGGTCGCATATGTTCTGACGAAACCGCAGGTGAGGAAGGGTGAGGAGTTTTGATGTTACTACACCCTAAGTGTTAGGGTGTTAATCAGAACATGGATTTGAACTAAACTTCTGAAAAATAAGGTTACAATAAAACTTAGCTTCTCAAGAAAACAAAAAGTTTATACAGATGATACACAGCACAATTTCACTTTTACACAAATTATATTCATAGTTCTCATTACCACATGTTGAAAGGGACGTCATCTTAATGTCAGAAGTATAGGGAGCTTTTTCTCTTCCTTACACAAGCCTCAATGGAGCATCTGCATTGTTTAGTTGAGATCCAGGGTGATGATGAGTCTCTGTAGGGCCAATGTACAGTTGACCCCCCTATAACGTACGTTCCTATAACGACAATTCCTATAACGTAGCGAAAAAATTGTAGAAACTTTCGTATAAAGTACCTCCTATAATGTCGTTTCGCGAAAGATTGATAGAGTCTGGACCAATAGTGGATGAGCAACCGAACTACTTACCTCCGACCTTGCGCCACGCTACGGAGCGGCTAAATTGAGTTTGCTATCGTCTGTTTATTATTATATATAAATTAGGTACTGTACATATAATTATATATTAATTATATATAAATTAGGTACTGTATATATAATTATATATTAACTTAATTTATTGTAACTTTATTATAATTATATATATGCTTTCTGCCGCCTGGCAACACGCTACGGAGATTTTAGGCTAGTAAGTTGAGTTTATTATCGTCTGTACAGTATGTAAATTAGGTACCGTAAGTCTAATACAGCACTAATTTTATACATTTCTTGTGAAAGAAACACTTCTTATTCAACGTCCATAAAAATTATTTATATTAATGATGTCTCCAAAGGTCAAGTTATTTTTCCGCCAAAAATTCGTTATCAGAAATTGCGGCCGTCGTTTAACGTGCTGTTCCGCGATGAAAACCAGCTTTAAGCAACAACATAGTTGAACGGTACACACTCTGTAAGTAATCCTACAATTTTTTGTTTATAGCATAGTTTATACAGATTATTCCCAAAAAATTATACGTATTTTGGAAATGTTGAGTGAAATTAGTCTAGAATCGGTTAATTTTATAGAAGAAAACCTTTCGAACAGCCTTAGTCCGTAAAGTTCCCACCTATCGGGCTGCGATTGGCTCATGTATTTAATCGTTCCTACAATGTAATTTTCGGTTAGCGTGGAACGTATCTAAGTGTTATAGGGGGGTCTACTGTAGACTGCTGTAATTTCGACAACTGCAGTGCACTCTTTGTCAAAATTGTCAATGGGTTATGGTCGGTTTGTAGTTTGATCTTCACACTGAAAATTCACGTCTTGAACTTCTTCAGACTGCACACGACAGTGTAAGCCTCACGTTCAGTTGTAGACCACGCCTGCTGTGTCGGGGTGAGTTTTTTGATGGTGTAGGATATTGAGTGGACTTTTTCTTCAAATCATTGTGACAGACAGGCAGAGATTCCAATATGTGATGCGTCGGTTTGGATGACAAAGAGCTGTTCCAGCACTGGTGTATAAAGTGCGGCTTCTCATTAGGGCTGTCTTCAGATGGCGAAATACAACATTGTGAACCCTGGTCCAGGGCAAGGTGTCGGGAATCTTCCTTTTGGTCAGCTCTGTGAGTGTGTGGGCTATGGTAGCATAATTGGGAATATATTTTCTATAAAAATTGCATAGACCCAAGAGGCTCTTTAGCTGCCTCTTGTTCCTAGGTACAGGCAACTGCGAGATGGCTTGAACCTTGTCAGGATTTGTGTGGTGCTTCCCTGAGCCAATGATGTGGCCAAGGTACTTAATCTCAAGCTTAGAGAATGAGCATTTGTTGATGTTTATAGTGAAGTGTAGTTCTTTCAATTTCGTGAGGACCTTATATAGATGCTTCAGGTGTGTATCCCAGTCGTTAGAGAAGACGGCAATGTCGTCAATGTATGCCCGTGCAAAATTTTAAAATTGAGCTAAGGCTTTGTTCATCTCCCTATGGAAGGTGGCTGCAGCATTCTTTAAACCAAATGCCATGACCTTGAAACGATATTGTTTTCTGTGTGTCTTAAAAGATGTTAGGTCTCTGTTTTCGACCTCCATGGGATCGCCCAGTAGCCCTTCAACAGGTCTAGAGTAGTGATGATGTTTGCTGCATCGATGCAACTAATCAATTGGAAGACTTTTTCTGTAGGAAAGTCATTGGTTATCGTGATCGCGTGAAGTGAGCGGTAATCTACGTACAGCCGCATGTCCTCATTTCTTTTACTCACACACACACATCGAATGTGCTATCTCTGCAATGCTATCCTCTATCAACCCCAAGCGTAGGAGTTTCTCAATCTGCTCGTCTACCTTGGGCTTCAAGGTCTTGGGAATTCTGTATAAGTACGGTTTCTTCTTTGTCTGACCCGGGCTCAACCTGATCTTGTATTCGCCTACCTTTGCAATATGCACCCTCTTGTTGAATAGGTAACGATGCTTTTCTAACAGGCCCTTAATCTGCGTTTGCCAAGTGTGACTGAGGTGATCAAAACAATGATGTGCTAGTGTCACTTCGAAGGTTACCTCATCGTCGATCTTTGGGGTAGGGTGAACATTCCAAAATGCTCTCTCTTCAAATATTACTTTGATAGCGCTCACTTTAGGATAATACTTCCGGATCTTATTAACGTGCACCTGTCTAACATTGTTCCTGGGTAGCTTGACCTTGTATGAATGTGGAAAGCAAAATTGTACTACTTTGCCGGGGCCGGTCCAACATGCATAAATTTTGTTACCTGAGTCGGGGATTAGTAGAATGACCTGATCTCCGACTCCAAACCTTCTTATTGATGACCTTTGGTTAAAGTGCTTGGCATACGCCCTTTGTTTTCCGTTCGCCGTTAACGCAGCCTGATGCGCCATTGTCTCCAGTCTACACTTAAGATCTTGCAGGTAATCAGCAGCTGAACATGACATGTTAAGGGGAAGGGGGATCTCTTCGGCCCAAGTAAATTTGAGGACTGAGAGGTCCACGTGCCTCCCTCCCGTATAGAAGTCTGAACGGGGAGATTCCAGTCGTGCAATTTGGTACTTCTCTATAGGCGAAGAGCAAAAATGGAATCTGTCAGTCCCAACTATTTATTTATTTATTATTTATATATAGATCTTGTTGTTATATTTCTTGTTACTCATTACATGTCTTCTTTTATTATTTGTTTATTTTACATCATATAGCTATTATTTTATTTATTTATACCAGTTATTGTGGCACAGCATGACCTATGTGGCCCTTCTGCCAAAAAATATTAACCAACCAACCAACCTTGATACCTAAGCGCATAGGGAGATGTGGCTTCTTTCACTTCCTTGATTTGTTTTCCCTTGTCCGAAAGTTCAGTCTCTATCTCTAAGTCACTTTTTTTTTTTCTGCTGATATGCACTATGTGCAAGTGGAACTAGGGATGTATTTAAAATAAGTTCATTCCAGGGATTACCGGTACAAATAACAACTGATTTGCAAGCTGTGGCAGTCAGAATTTCAATTGGCGTAACTGTCACAGTTTACTCTATATACAGTAGACTCCCCTAAAATTACGGTTCCTATAATTACGATTTCTGTAAAACTGCAAAAAAATTGTGACAGTATCCGAAAAAAAAGGTAAAAAAACTCCTATAATTACGTAAAACGTCATTGGGCAGTCAAACTACTTTCTGCGCCATTAAGTGCCGCGCTACGGAGAATTTACTATCATCTGTACAGTATTATATATAAATTATATATAAATTAGATACTGTATTATATATTAAGTATATATAATTATATATTAACTTAATTTATTGTAACTTTATTATAATTATATATATATATTTTCAGCCACTACGCAGACTTTAGGCGAACTGTCGTCTGTACAGTATGTAAATTAGGTACCGTAAGTCTAATACAGTACTGTAATTTTATACATTTCTTGTGAAAGAAACATTTCTTATTCAATGGCCATAAAAATTATTTATATTAATGATGTCTCCAAAGTTCAACGAAGTTTTCGCAGAAAAATAAGTTATCAGAAATCGGCCACAGTTTGGTGTGCTGCTTCGCGACGAAAACAAGCTTGAGCAATGGCGATGTTGAATGGTGCACACTCGGTATGTAATCCTACAATTTTTTGTTTATAGCGTAGTTTATATGGATTATTTCCAAAAAAATATACGTATTTTGGAAATGTTGAGTCGGATTAGTCTAGAATTGATTAATTTTATGGAAGAAAACCTTTCAAAGGACTCGTAAGAAATCGGATTCCTAAAGAATGGAACGTATCTATGATCTTATAGGGGGGTCGACTGTACTTGCCACCAGATGTCAAAGTCAATGAAGATGAACTGGATGCTTTGGTTGAACAGCTGCCAACTGCATTCTTTTTACTGGGTAATTTCAATGGCCACAATCTAATGTGGGACAGTCCTGATATTAATCGTCAAGGCAGAGCCATTGAGAGGTTCATATGCAATCACCAACTGTAATTAATACTGGAGAAGTGACGTACTTTCATGCCCCAACAAGAACATTCACTGCCATTGATGTATCATTAGCAAGTCCAAACCTATTTTTAGCATTTTCATCGGAGGTTGGATCTAATCCACTCTCTAGTAACCACTTCCCAATATTTTTAAAATATCAAGACTGAGAAAGCTGTGAAACAGCTTGTCTACCACACTGGAAACTCTAAACGGCAGATTGGCCTGCATTTTTTTCCGTGGCTGACATCACTGTGGAAATTGTTGATACTGCTGATATCAATGATGGAATTGAAATATTCAAATGTAAATTCGTCTCTGTAATCCAAAAGCACACTTTGGGAGACGTATCTCACAGCAATTTCTGGTTAGCAAATTATTTTTTATTTTCCATTGAACTACAAATATATTTTGGGTTGGTATAATGTACTCCAACCCCTCCTCAGTGTTAGTTCAAATAAACAAGAAATATTAAAACATGACTATGTTATACTATAGAAACAAACTAAATTATAAAAAAGCACTTACATTTCCACATTATGTAAATTACAAAAAATTCTTTTTTGTTTTCAAAATAGCGATTGGGAGGGCAAACCTTTCTCATCCTTAACCTGTAGTTAGACATAAAATTGTGCATTCAGTATTAATATACATCTAAAATTAAACAACCGTAACTTCCAACAAAAACTTCCATAATACTCACAATCATTTAAAATTTTTTTACAAATGAGTATATAACAGACATAGTAAAAATTGATATACGTATGTAAAAGATTTTTTCATACACAGACAATATTATTAAAATATACCAGTATCAGAATTACTATGGAAGATTTTTTACGAATAATTATACCATGTTTTAACTTGTTTTAGTGCCATCTATTAATTCGTACCTGCGGTAATCAATTTGCATATCATCTGAGTTATTAAATTATTTTTTTGTTTCCTTATTTCTAAATGCTCTTTAAATTTTCTTTTATAAAGATATTTTTCAAAATGCAAACTTTTATATTATTACGGTTAATTTTACAATTATTGTTATTTGTACGATCATACCATGGAGAATTATTGTACTTCAATCTGATGGCTGGTTCATGTTCTTTTATTCTAACATCTAACATGCGCTCTGTTTCACCTATGTACAGCTTGCTTAGCGTCCGCCATTTTTATTTTAAAATTGTAAAATCGTGGCCCTGATTATCAGAAATTATGATTCTATCTGTTATTTTGATACTTTTCTTTATTTATAATGTTTTATTTACTTTATTTTCTTGTAATTAGAGACAATACAGCTTTAAAATAAACAGATCAGCTTTGTCTTGCCAACAGATTATTTCAACTTTCACCGATTGTCCTCGGTTCCTTTGTAATCGGATAGGAATTGACCGTGAATTGTGCAGTGTTAAGTGTTTATTGCTTTTGCAGTAATACGAGTAGAGCAGAGCGGGAGAGTTGCTTAATGAACTGGCAAACGTTTTATTACCGTTTAAACAACTTCTCCCCACTTATTATTCTTAGTAACTAGACACGTCTGTCAAGGTCGGTGAAAGATTATTACTTTCACAACAGGGTGTCAAGTGAACCGCCACCCACACCAATTGTTAACGAAAACAACGCGCGAAGTATCACGTTACTCTGTAAACGAAAACTCCCTTCCTTGTTGGAGGCGGGTCACATGTCAAGGTTACCGTTTAATGTTATTGAACAAAATGTTGTCCTTGATATTTAAGAATCAGTTTTGTCAGAACTGTTCATTTTTAATACATCTTTTTTATAACCGAAGCGGAAATAAATTATAAATGTTTTTATTGTGTTTTAAATCGATTTGTTTTAAATTATACTCGTATACAGTTTATGTATTAAAATTGCAGGGAACGTTTTGTTGTTTCAAGAAATATTTATTCATTATACCGAGTTTAAGTTTGCAAAAAATGTTTTCATATCTCTTATTCGTCAGTATATATATATTAATAAAATATATTGCCATTTTATAAACAGATCCTATTGTAATCAATGTATTACTTTGTATTTAAATCCACATTATATTCGAATCGACATTTTATATTTTGTAAGTATTTACGTATCACATTATATGTCATTCGTTTAATTCTATACTACTTACATTATAACTGTTTTTATATCTTTTATTTTTCTTTTTTATGTTTTTAATTATTATTTAAAGCGAATGTGCTCTAATCTATGAATGGCAGCTTTCCACGCATCACATAGGATTTCTACGGTTAAGCCCTCATTGCAGGCGTGAAGTAGTTTATCCGGGAAAGATGACATTCAGGAACCATTTTCGACGTATAACAAATAATAAATATACACACTTTTTTAAATTTCTCNATCACATTATATGTCATTCGTTTAATTCTATACTACTTACATTATAACTGTTTTTATATCTTTTATTTTTCTTTTTTATGTTTTTAATTATTATTTAAAGCGAATGTGCTCTAATCTATGAATGGCAGCTTTCCACGCATCACATAGGATTTCTACGGTTAAGCCCTCATTGCAGGCGTGAAGTAGTTTATCCGGGAAAGATGACATTCAGGAACCATTTTCGACGTATAACAAATAATAAATATACACACTTTTTTAAATTTCTCATAAATATTTTTTTAATAATCAAAAGCTATACAGTTTTCAGCACGTGATTTCGAAAGAAGCTTTCTAGTGAAGGGGTTAAACTATTGGACACAATCGTTATAGTTTTTTGAAATAAAATGAAAAAAAAAATAATAATATTCGACAAATAACTGAAAATAAAATGTTTTCATGACATAATTAAGAGCGATACATCACATTATAGCCATCAACTATTATCGGGTTTTGATTAGACTCGAGGAACACACGATTTGTAATGTTCACAATTGTCAAACCAGGTAATGAGACTTTTACATTTCGGTCTAATGGAGAGCAACAACAGAAATTTGGAACTAATATGTTACTTCGGAAAATCACTGCTTGAGATTCCAATTTGTTTTCTAAATAAACAAGTTCAACTGCAAAGGTCACATGCCGCACTTTTTTCTGCATTTACGTTTTTCTGGTCAACACTTTTTTCTTCTGAATTTGCTTTCTCTCCCCTCATAGCAAAATTGCCACTTTATTGCTTACTGATTAACTTTTTAAAGTTAAGACACAATACACAAAGTATATTAGTTTGTTATTATCCAATAAAACATTGGGAAATTTCCTTGAATATGATTTGTTAAAAGGTGTTAGCCACACCTTGTTTTACTTGCTTGATTGGACATTCCTGTAGGTCACACCCTGCTTAAACCGTATTGGCTGTCAATCGTTATTGAACTATATCCGATTCACGAATCAGAGATAACATATATATGTGAGCGATCAATTTGCAAGCAATGCACTTTAATGTGAAGTAACAGGTATAATAACTGTTATAACATTAAATTGTGCCGCGATTTTATGTCTTGTTTGCAAAACACACAGATTAGAAATGAGTAAATGAGATTTATTTACTCAAGTTACAAACAACTTGTTAACAGAACATAGCAATTAATTAACATTTTGAGGATTCGTTAACAGAACATAGCAATTATTTACAATATGCACGAATCTTTAACAGAACATAGCAATTATTCACAATTTGGATGAATCGTTAACAGAACATAGCAATTAATCAACATTTCGATGATTCGTTAACAGAACACAGTTAACTCAGCTGACAAAAGTAAACTGTTAGCGTCTGCTAACTTAAAATAACAATAAAACATGAAGATGGAGGGGAGAGGTTTAGTACCCGGACCACGATCCAGCATTCTGCACGACCGCATTCAGTCGCTTAGGCATGCTTTCCACAAGATTGTGGCAAAGCAAGCCCTCGCGAAGCGTCTTCCAACGACCAGAGACAATGTCCCAAATGTCGTTGGGATTGGCGGTTTCAATGGGGCTGCGCGTGATCATAGACCACAAATGTTCGATCGGGTTGAGGTTTGCCCCTCTCCCCGGCCATCCCATGTCAATGATTTGTGGATGTTCTTGTATCCACTCAGTAACGATTCGTGCTGTGTGTACCGGGGAGTGGTCGTGAACGAACTGAAATGGTTCATCGCCATAGACGGCCCCCACCGTCGGCAGTAGTACCTGATCTAAGATCTCGATATGCTGGCCGGCGGTGAGGTGACCGTCTATGCGGACCAACTCCCCGGGACCCACATTACTCATCCATCCCCAGACACCTGTAAACAGAAAAAGCAGATAAGTCGTCATGTTCAAAAAAATAATGACATCTACACACGAAAACACCAAATTAAATACACTCACCTAGCGAAAAACAACCGCTTCTTTGGGTGTGCCACAGATATGCAGGGTCGTGCCTTGTTGATTGTGGGCGACGCACCCACACGGTCCCATTGCTGCATGAGCA